TGCAAAATAGAGATTTCCGCGAGTGCCTGAATTCTTGACGCGATGATTGGTTTTAACCAATCAAAATTAAAAGAGACCAAAGGAATTGAAATCAAGAAGTTATAACGATAATCAGATTGTTAACGTTAAATTGTATTGTGTCCCTTTTACTTACCGTTGTTCCATGGATTCGAAGCAGGCGTCGATTGTAGTCCGTAGGTAAAACATTTTTAAAGCCAGATTTTACTCTACGATATAAAGGTATACATTAGCTAAACTTTCAGTTATTTTTTGTATATAGGTGTAAAAGGGAAGGCCGGTAGATGGCCCTCCCGGAGATCACCATTGAAACTATTGGTATGAGATATGGACAGAGGAGAATTTTCGATCGTGGTCTACCAACTCACCCTCCTTCCAAAGTTGTCAGGCAAGTAAAGTAACTCTGGAAAAGACGCGATTCGTGCTTCATGACCTCACGATGCTGAACTGCTTTGTCATCAAGCTGAAATCAGTATATACACGCACAGAATCAACTGAGTGAAATCATCAGGGTGAAATTTCGTTGACTGAAGAATCTAAGACCGAAAGGACACATGGGAATAGCTAGATCCATTCGATCATGAGGGTTGACAGACGACAAAAAAATAACTTTCACTTGGTTACAGTTACAATGTGGGTATTTGACAAATGTAAATATTAGCATGACCATAAACCCCCAGAATGGGGGCTATTGACAAAAAAATATAAAAAATGTCAGTAGCCCCTGAGTATGCCCGCACTCCCCCCCGTTGAGGCAACACATTGACAGGTGCATATTTGATTGTTAACGTGCTGCACAGATATTGCTCTTAAACTTACATATGTGTCAAGTTCCACAGTCTTGTAAGCGGCTGTGCCATACTCGTCCTGGGTCGAGTGCTCACCAATCCAGAAGTGAACGTCATATTTAAGCTCCTAAGTAGACAATGCATKAGTGTATTTCGTATATCGGAGATTGATAAGAAAACAGGAAGAAATCTCGATGAATATACCACCATGCAGTACTATACTCTAAAGCATTGCAAAGTGGTATTACCATACCCTAACCACAAAAGCTGTCACGTCACAATCAAATTGTTCTGAATATTTCTAAATCATACTTACGTCAGTATCTTCACTCTTGTACGTATTTAAGATGATGTACGAATCTCCGTCGTAAAATGTCCCATAGTCAGTTCTGGGCCAGGCCTTGACCTATGAAGAAAACCCACATCATCAAAAATCGCCTACACTCTATACTGTCCACAGACAATGGGAATTATTATAAGAATRAACACCTTAGCCTCTTTAGCCTCACTATAAAGACAGTCATTGGTAATATATTCATCAGTCGTTGTTTCCGTTGGTTTTCGAGGTGTGATAGATGTGGTATAACTACACACAATATTGATGTTTTATTCACCAGTGTTATATGGAATTAACAACAAACTCGTTCAGGGGCTGATAACGAATTTTCTTCTGGGAGGGGGAAGCAGGATAATCGATACGGATGTGCATCTAACGTTAATTTCAAACTTATCGCAAAACTTAACAAACCAGTAACCAATGAGATGATTTTATAGCTTAGTTCTTTTGTTGGAACTTACCCTTATTCCATGGGAACCACAACATCGTTCAAAATCATTCAATATCTCTCGAATTACGCCAACTCGCTCAAAGTCAATCAAAATTTACTATGATAATAATAAATATTTGGATTTCGTCTTCACTAAAATTTGAATTATAGTCGCCATTTTTTTTATCTGTTCACCGTATATGGGCTGATATTCAAATATAGATCGAGTAACC